GAAGGGCTGGCAGGCAGAAGGGTGGTGCTTTGGCATTCCCCGGACAGCGAGCTCTGAAGTTGGCCCCTCTGAGGTGAGTGGCTTTGGGAACACAGGACAACGTACTGTTGGCCCAGGTCCCAGAGCTCTCACAGAGGACCCAGGGGCAGTAACAGTGCTCAGTGCAGGGTATGGACTAAGCATGGGCTCTGGGGTCAGGCTGCCCGGGCCCAGATCCTGGGCCTGCCACTTATGAGCTGTGTGACCTTGGAGGAAGGTAGTTAATTTCTCTGTGCCTCAGTTTCCTCAGCTATATAATGGGAATGATAATACCTACCATAAGGCTAATTATAGGTTAAATGAGTTAATACGGTAGACAAGTACCTGGCACAGGGTTAGCTATTATTATTAAGTGGCTTTGTGTGCAATGGAGGTAGGGGAGCAGGGGGAGGTGGTAGGTAGCTGGGGTGCTGGAACTGGTGATATGAAGAGGTGAAGTCTGCTTATGAGTTCACACTGATCTGCCGCTGGGGGCTTCTAAAACCCTTTGGAAGAGGATGGGAGTTGTTCAGGTGGAAGCGAGAGCCAATGAAAACTGGGCTCTTTCAGTTAACGTGAGGCTCTTTGTACCCTCAGGTTTACAAGGCACTTCTGAGATGCTGCACTGTCCAGGTGAGTCAGCTTCCTACTGTGGCTGCTGGTCACAGTCCAGGAAATCATCCAGGCCTAGGTAAGATTGCATCTGGAGCCTGGGGCCAGGTCCGGGACCCTACACTGAGGGGGAGGTGGGCTGGTATGTGTCCTGAGCGGAGGTTAGGAAGGCTCTGAACACTGTCATGGGAGCAAATACTGAAGAAACTAGAGAAAAAGAGACTCTGGGAAGACTCAGAACTGCCTTCCTGCATCTGTAGGATTTCACCCCACTATAGGTTGTATGGAGGGCAGAACCAAGGGAGAGTCTTAGAGGAGGCAGATTCCAGCTTGACCAGGACAGAGCTGGCCAACCAGTGCACAGGCTTCCTTGGGAGGTGGTGAGCTTTTCATTATAGAAATATTCCTACAGATTCCTACACCAGGCCCAGTGGTACATGCCTGTAATCCCAGCACTTTGGGAGGCCGAGGTGGGCAGATCACTTTAGGCTAGGAGTTCGAGACCAGCCTGGCCAACATGGCGAAACCCCATCTCTACTAAAAATACAAAAATTAGCCAGGCATAGTGGTGCAGGCCTGTAGTCCTGGTTACTCGGGAGGCTGAGGCATGAGAATCACTTGAACCTGGGAGACGGAGGTTGCAGTGAGCCGAGATCACACCACTGCACTCCAGCCTGGGTGACAGAGCAAGACTCCATCTCAAAAATAAAAAGATATATTCCTACAGATCCCTGAGACCTACCTCAAGAGATTCCAATTCAGTAGGTCTTGGATGGCTGAGGAATCTGGTATTCAAAAAATTCCCAGGGTGACTAAGTGGGGTTCACATTATAGAGAGCTTTGCCTGCCTAGGCAGAGCTTAGATGGGACCTGGGATTCTTCTAGCACTGGCAGTCTGTCATTCTGTGGTCCCCTAAGGTCCCACGCTTGTGTCCTGACAGCGTCTATTCCTGCTAGAACCCCTTGGCTACAAACTCTTCCCTTTGAGTCTCTCCCTGTTCAAGGGCCAGTGCAGAAAACCCCACTCAGGACGTAGCCTTGCAGAGTACATTGTTGCGGGGCTTTTTTTGTGTGGTATTTGATTGCAGCTTCTGATTAAGGACCTGGAGGGTATGTCTGTCTGTGCATGCATGTGTATCTGCGCATGTGTCTGTGTGTGTGTATGTGTGTGTACGTGCAGAAAGAGAAACACGATCTAGTCCTACAGATTTTGTGTTTGTGTGTGAGAAGGCCTCGGCTAGTGCTCATGCCAGTGATGGGAAATAGGGGCTGGGACCTGAGGAATCACAACTAGGGCTGGACCCCGGGGAGCTGTAAACTTAGAGGGATGCTCTGTTCTTTGCCTGCTTCACAGACTGGGAATTCGGGCAGGATTGGGACTTCCAGCCGAGTCATCCTGGCCAACCCCGCTTCCTTGGCTCCCTGGCCTCAGATGCTCCTAGGGACTCAGGTTCCAACCCCCTGAAGGCTCCAGGCCAGCTCCTGAGGCCTGACCCTCCCGAGGCCGTGACTACCTGAGAAACCCAATGTGGGTTGTCTGGTGGGTGCAATAGTGGGAGAAGCACTTTACCCACCATGCCTGGTTGCCTTCTGAAAAGCTTTGAAATGCCCAGGGCAAGGCAGTAAGGGAAGAGGGCAAAAGAAAGTTGAGTTTGATGTGGACTTTGGTTGGGGAGTCTAAACTGCCCCAGCTTCATGGTCCCTCAGGCTATAGAAGGCACTTGAGGGCTGGGCTGAACAGGCAGAGTCCAGGAGGCAGCAACTAACCCTTGTACTGGGTAACACACAAGAAACCAGCAGCACGGCAAAGTTGACAGACTTGGTCTCAAGTTTCTTGGCCAAGACAAGGTCTCTTGACCAGAACGTAGAGGAGCTGGAATTGAAGCCCAGCTTGGTATGACTGCACAGTTTATATTCTTAAATCCTGTGCTACATGTCCTCCCTGATAGGATCTAGGCCTCCCAGCTCCCGGCTCCCCTGAATTCCTCCTGGCCTTCCTAACCATCATGGTTTCAAAATGCTCATAGGTACAGCACCATTAGGTTGGCACGATGAATTTCTAGAGGTTGCCACAATGCGGGGAGGGTTCCATGAGCCTGCCTGCCACGAAATTGAGAGTAAGGGATATCTGATTGGCTAGTGGGAGCTCCAAATTCCAGTTCCCCACAAGTTCAGTCTCCCTGTGACCCTGAGCCAGAACCAGACTCTTATTAAATAATGGATGGTCTCTGAAGACCCTTCAAGTGCCATGATTCTCTCTGCGCTCATGGGAAATCAAGACTATAGACAGAATGTTTGCAGGTACTGATAGCTTCTGCGTTATTGGGGCCCAGCAGAAGGACCCATGAGGGAAGAATGCATGAGGGAACATTATTTTTACAAATGGGTAGATTCTTAGTGAATATTCTCAAGTTATGATTACATTTGTTTTCTTACACATTACAACTCTGGGAACTTAAATAACAAACACTTTAAAAAGAATGGCCCTTTGGATCTCCATATCCCAAACCCATAGGATCAAGATATTATAGAACTTGGCAGTCTTGTGGGTGGGGAGATGCCCTTCCCTTGAATGTCTAAGTGACAGGTGTTTATGTTGTCTGTTTTGTGTTTCCTGAGGATATACTTTGAAAGAACTTTTAATTATAAAGCTTTGTAACCAGGAAGAACTTAACTCAATATAAAAGCCTGTCTTCACTGACAGCAGAGGTGCATCTTTGCTGGTCTTTCATTATCTTATATTTTAGGAATGCTTTCATTCTTGGGGCAGCTGTTTGGGGGAGTTGCCCAGGATGTAGGAGCTAGATTTTGCCTGAGAATCTGATTCAAGGGCACTACCATTGTTAGTGAAGTGGAAGGGGCCCGGGATGGTCATTTTCAGAGGAGTCCAGGGTAAGGAAATAGGGATGCTAAGGAGACAGAGGCCAAGAAAGTCACGGCCTGAGGGTCTGGAAGCAGTCGCCTTTGAACGCAGTTGTGAGTGTCTTGTCTCCTTTCCTTAATCCCTAAGCTTTTGGAACTTGGCACCCTCCAGCAGCAGGACCCACTATTTCCCAGAATGGGGGCCTGGACTTGATAAAACCCTAGGCTGGGCTGCCTGAGGCTGAAGGGCAAGGAGGTTGGCCCACTGTCACTTAGACATTCAAGGGAAGGAAAACCCCCTCACCCCTAAGGCTGCCAAGTTCTGCAACATCTTAATCCCATGAGTTTGGGATATGGAGCTACAAGGGGCCATTCTTTTCTAAGTATTTACTATCTAAGTTCCCAGAGTCGTAATGTGTCAGAAAACATATGCCATCATAACATGAAAATATTCACTAAGAATCTGTCCATTTGTAAAAATAATGCTCCACTCACAGATTCTTCCCTCACTTAACAAGTGTCTATCCCACTGGCTCAGTCAGTTTGGACGACTGTTTGATATAACAGGATAATACCATTTCAATGCAAATCAACTGCAAAGTTCATGAAATCAAAGAAAACAGTGATGGAGAATTTCACATGCAAGGTCTTTGACCAAGGAGATCAGATAGAGCTTATCAATTAAGTGAAGAAAATACAATGAGGATGATGCTCAAATAGGTTCTTCAAAAGGGAATAATTTGAATATTGAGGGATTGAAAGAGATCCTTAGGAAAATGGATGAAGCCCTTAAGTATTATATTAAACAGATAGAGTCTCTTAATTAGGTGCTGTAAAGTAAAATGTGAAGAGGATATTACTATGTGAACAGATCATTTTGCTGGTATAATAAATAAATATACCCACACCAAAATCAACATTTTATTCTTTCTTCAATCTAAAAATTAGTACATAACCTATATTTCATAATCTGTATAGCTAAAAATAGCTTGTTTTGAATGCCTCATTTGTACAATAAAAATCTCAATGTCCCTTTAAATTAACTTGCTTTCATCATTTCCTTTCTATTATAAAATTTCACTGAAAACCTTTTTTGCTATTTACTATACAATTTTGATCTCCATTTCAAGTGGATTCACTTTAAGTGGCCTTTTCTCGTGCCCACTCCCCTGACATAAGAGGTTCTCAGTGCTAATGGTTCTCATCTAAGTCTTTCCCCAGTTTCAGAGGGAGCCTGCGTGGTTTATAGTTTGGCTTCTGAGGCCTCAGTCAGACACAGCCTAGATGGTTGGTTCTATACTCAGAATATTTGGGGCCTCGGTCAATTCAAACCAACTCAGAGTAATTGGTTCCTCAGTATGGAAGCCACATACCTTCTCCAGGTACCCACTGCAACCTACATGAGCTGTCAGCAAACCCTCTGGCCAGCCTAAGAGCTGTGGCCTCAGCCCAGGGTGCTTGGCTTGGCCCCCAGCCAGGCTAGCTGAGGGCAGAGAGGGGGCACTTACTTGGCCGGCAGGGCTCTGGGCTGCCTGTGGCTCTCCGGGGGGCTCCTCGTCCTCGGGAATGTGGGGCATGGCAGCCTCCTGCTGGGAGTGGCCACGTGTGCCCGGAACCTCCGCTGCGTCAGCCCCAAAGATGCTCCAAGAGGCCTGGGCTCCACAGGCTGGGGAGACGCCAAAAGGACAAGTCAAATCCGTTCCCATCCCTGTCCCAAGCTGGGTTCCATTTCCCGGAGCCACAAGCCACAGTGAGAGCCGGCTTGAGTTTGCATCAACACCGGAGGTCAAACCAGGCTAGGCGAGGGCATTTGGAATTTCATTTCCTCCGGCTCTCTGGCTTTGTTTACAAAGTCAGAGGTGACCTTAGAGATTTTGCATCTAATTTGGTCTTTACAGTAAACACAGCTATCCCAGAAGGGAGAAAAGTGCTTCAAACTCCTCAAAGCTGTAGCTAAAGGAAGATACTCCATTGAGATTAGATTGGCAGTTGTTTACCACTTACTGAGCACCTACTGGGTGCCGGGCCCTGTCCTAGAAGCATCACCATGATCTAATTGAATCCTCAAGATGACCTCTGATGTAGGCATTAATATTCCCATTTTACAGATGAGAGAACTGCCGCAGAGAGTGAAAGTTACTTGCCCCAAATCATACAGAGAACCAATAATTTGAAGCCAGATCTTCCTGATTTTGAGGCTGGGGCTCTTTCTGCTATACCACACAGTGTTCCTCAGCCATGTAGATGGGGAGTAAGGGGTGCTGTTTCCTGACTTCTTCCCTGACACCTCCCCTCATGCTCTTCTTACCCTCAGCACACTCTCTCTCATTTGAGTTCGGCCCTCACGGGGCCTACACCAGCCCTGCTAAAACCTGGAGGCTCAGGCAGGGTGAATTCCGTGTGCCCTGTGCCCACCCCCAGCAACCTTAGATTGACTCCCAGAAGCCAGGCTATCCCCTCCCCATGGTGCAGCAGCCCGGGGCCACTGGGGTCCCAATGCTGATCAGGACTGCAATCAGCACAATCTCATCCACCTCCTACAGTGACTGGCTCAGGGACAGACAATGGACCCAGCCTACATCCATGAGCTTCCAGTAGTGTTCTAGGACCAGATGTTTTCTCCTGCTCTGAGTGGTGGAGTGTGAAGATATGAGACCTGGTGCTACGGACACCATTTTGCTTCCATGAGGAAAGCGAGACAGAATCTAAATGACACACACAGAGGAGGGCAGAGCTAAGGCACCTGCAGAGAAACAGAACTGGAGCCCTGATTAAAGTATGCCTGAAGCCCAAACACTTTCTGGACTAGCCAGTGGCACGAACAATTAAGCCTCTTGGTGTTGAAATCACTTTGTGTTGGGTTTTTGTTACTTGTAACTGAAAACATACTCCACTACTCTTTCATGCTTCTTGTCTGTCAAGATGCCTAGGAGTATGATCCTGCCAACAACCCTGAGCCAATGGGTCTAGCTCCTCTGCTTCCTCTTAGAAGAGGAGACTAGCAATGCCAGGTTTCCATAGGGAAAGGCAGGATAGCAATGTCGAAAGAACACAGGCTTTGGAACCGGATATCTGGGTGTGAGTCCTCACTCTGCCACTCACTGGCTATGTGACCTTGGAAAGTTGGCTTCATCTCTGAGTCCCGCTTTTCTTGTTGAAACAGAGATAAGAATGCCTCCTGAGCAGGATGCTCCAAGGATGAAACACACTCACTTCAGAGTAGGTTCCCATAGAAGCCACCTGCACGGGGGTCTGCAGCCCAGGAAGTTTGGCCCAAGTTCCAAGGGCTCTGCCTGGCCTCTCCCCATTGTTAAACTCCCTTTTTCTTCTCTTAGTGGGGTGGGCAATACCTTCAGGGATCTATAGAACTAACAACTGGCCTGGTTCTGCAACTTTTAGAGATTCCCCGAAGGAGCTGCTCCACTGGAGAGTAGATTAAGACCACCGTGCAGATAACATAGGCAGGCGAACTTTGGCTGATGGGACACATGGTGGGTGGGCATGGAGATGAAGGACATTGTCATTTACTGAGCACCAACTGTGTTCCAGGTCCTCTGGGAGGTACTGCTGACTGCTGGAGGCTGTAGGAGGAAGAGCCAGAAAGCTCTGCACCTCCCATAATACTTGGTGTCCTTCCTGTCCTTCAGAAAGGGCTCAGAAAGGCCCTAGAGCCAGAGTGCTGCAGAACAGGCCTGAGCTGCCATCAGCCCAGCTCTGACAGACCCCCCCACTCCCCACCAGCCAACACACATACCTCTAGACTCCTGGACTGGGCTCCTTGAGATAGGCTAGGTGTCAGATTCATCCTAGGTACCCAAAAGATTCAGCAAAGAATGATTGTTGATTTATGTTTAAAGAACTAGGGACTTTGAGTCCCAGGATTGGTCAAGGTGACCACCATCTTGACTGCTGTCTTTCTCTGCAATGAACAAGTTAGCCCACTCAGCTCTGGAACAGTTAGGGTAACCCCTACTGGTCACCTCAAGAAATCTCAAGTAGAGCATCCATAGAGTCATTCATTCTTTCACTGCCAACACTTTACATCTACTCTACCAGGCCTGTGCCAGGGGCTGGTGACACAAATATGATAATCTTGGCCCTCAAGGAACAGAGTCCAGTGGTAGGAGACACTGGAGAACAGTATAATGGGGTAAATATTTTGAAAGTGAGAAGTTGCAGGACCCCAGAAAAGGGTTGCCTAACTATGGAAACTGGGATGGTGGGACATGATTTTAGCTGATTTTAGCAAATATTTCACATTAGAAATGACGTTTGAGCTGAGCCGTGAACACAAATGCTGAGTGGAATTTCTTGGAGCAGATTAGCTGGGTGTCTAGTGGGGAAGATAAGACAGGATGGGGAGAAGCCATACTGGACAGACTTCACCTGGCTCTTGGGAATGAGAACTATGGGGCCAGGTCATGCTGTCTATGTCTTCCATGCCAAATTCTTACTATATGAATAAACTGAGCATCAGGTTCACCCAAAGGTAAGCTCTGTGATTAATTTCTATCATCTTTACTTGGATTTCAGCAGCAGTGGCATCAGTGGTGCTGGGTAAAGTATTTGGTAACAGGGGTTGAGGGTAGCAAAAGAGTAGCTACAAACCCTGATTCTACTAAAGGAAGTTGGCTACATCTCCTAGGAAACCTTTTTAAGTTATGTGTGATGTATGTACAGGTCCAGGCTGTCTTAACAGGTGTATGGTTTCTAAAACATGGGAGGTGACTATTCCACTTTTCTTTTGTCTTAATCTACACAAAGTATATTGTGCTCTGCCTGTTAAGAAGGATTTAGACAAATTGGGACATGTTTTGAAAACGGGAAGCAGAAGCTAGGAGAACAAAATTTGTGTTTAAAGAGCTAGAGAACTTTAGCCTGGAGAAGAGGAAGTGCAGGGAGAAATAAAAATCTCTTCTCAGATGTTTGGAAAGCATTCATGTGGTTCTACTGTCCCCAAAGAATAGATGTCATAACTAATGACTGAAAGGTCAGATGGCGGCAAGGGACAACCTTCTAGTGGTTGGAACCACCCGAGGATGAAACAGGCTGTTCTTTAAGGTAGTGAGCTCCCCATTCCTTGGAGGGTTCTGGTAAAGGCTGGGACAAGGGTCACAGGATTCCTAACCAGTTCAGGGGCCTTTTCTAACTCTGAATGTCCCTGAAATCCTGGACTCTTTTTAGCTACAGCAAACTGAAAGACCTGACAATTCCATCCCAGGATTCTGGGATTATGGTCTGAAGTCTCATGAGACATATCTCATTTTCTAACCCTCCACTTTCTTTCCTCCACCTCCCTCTCTTCCAAAAAGAGCTTAAGTCAGTCTCTGTGACAGAAAGCAAAATAGAACAAATGAATTAAGTCAGATGTCAGCTGCCACAACATAAAAGTAGAGTGGATGCTGGCTGAGGCCCCACTCTTGACAAGATGGAACCCCAGGCTCCTCAGGGGGAGCCCCAGCAGCCCCGCCTGCCAGGGCCATTCCCACGCTGCTCCTGCCCTGTTTGCTGTCTCTCCCATCCATTATTATAAACTCACTGCTTAAAATAGCAAGGTAAAAGCAGAGTCCCTCCCCCAGGGTGACATCTGGGTTCTGCTGGAGCTTGTGGGCACACGGACCTCACATCCATCACAGCAAAGTTTAGAATATAATCTCCAGGAAGTGGTGATCTAGAGCACCAGCCCATAAAAGGAAAAAATATTTAGCAATGTTTGGTCTCCAAGCTGTTCCTTCTTTAACCCATGTTCAGGGCCCTTCTTGCTGCCTCTCCGGTCTGGTTAAGAAAGGGTTAGGTGGGCCAGTGCCAAGAGCTAATCAGCTCTTATGACTCTACTCATTCTGCCCCCAGCTAGTGCCTAAGTAGAACCTGGCCCATTTTACAGGCCTGGAAACTGAGGTGCAGAGACGGAAACAACTTGACTGGTTCAGCTACCCTTGTATCTGGTGCAAATTTTCCAAGAGACTCTGCTGGGATAACTATCTAATCATTTGTGCAACTGAAGAGGCTAGAAGTTCCTAAACCATATTTAAATATTTTATCTGCCCCGCTCATGAAAGAAAACAAACTAATATGCTTTTGTTCATGCTTGCATTCTTCAGTTATTTCTAAGTTGCCTAGTGAGCATCAGACACTATGCTAGATGTATTTCAAGTGCTATTTTCTTTAACCCCCGTGAGATAGGTTTTATTATTTCCATTTAATATATTAAGGATCTAGGGCTCAAAGAGGTTTCACAAATTGCTCAAGATCACACAGCTAGTAAGTAGCTGGCGAAGGGTTATAATCCAGGCTAGTCTGACGCCTAGGCCCGTCATCTTTCCTCTCTTCCACTCTGGCTTCTTCACCAGGAGTTTTGCTTGAGTGTGGCAGAAAAGCCTGCCTCCCAGGGGACGGCTACAGTGAGTACTCCCAGTGAGGCTAAAGATGGTGGGAGGCAGAGGGGAGGAAACAGGACCTACACTTCGGTTGTCGGGCCAGGGGTCTTATGAGGGCTAAAGAGTGGCCTACAGTTGAGCCTGCATGTCCTCTGGAAGGTGATAGCAGCAGGTGGAGGAAGGGGAGGTCAACCCTGCCTTGTAGGCTTCAAAGGCCTTACAGTATCCTAGAAAGCACAGAGCCATCATCAGGACGCAGGGTTCAGGAACAGAATTTACAGAGACTATC